GTTGTGATCTAATTCAGTAGATCAATGTACAATATGGTCATCTATGATCTAGGTTGCTTAATATAAAGTGGTTAATGGCTATCCAAAATGAATCTCTAAATATAATTTATAAATTAATCAGAATGATTTGTCTATAATCTTGAGAGAACTGTTGACACTGATGAAGTTTGAGTAAACATCATGTAGGAATATAGTCAAAGATGTTATCATTGGGTGACTCAATGTGATTGTACAGAATTTTCAAAGCTCTAAGTGTCGCTAAGTAGTATCTTAGTTCGTTTTATTTACTGACATAAAAATATTCATAATCTTTATATAGAGTTGAGATCATGAGTCAATTGAAGATAGACCACCATGGAAAACCTGGAAGCACGGGACAGCCGTTTCGTCCTATCATGGGACTCCTCAAAAGTACGCATCCACGATCCCACCTCACGAGATTCGAACCCAGGACCTATCAGTCTCGAGCACGAGCCAAAGTTTAACTTGTGGATTTCAAATAAATTGAGCATTGAGTAGATGGTTATTAATCAATATATTAGTCTTATATTATCTTTATTAATAACTCGATGTGTGTGTGTGTGTCAAGGAATTGTATACTTTAAAGCTTGACATATTTATAAAAATTCAGTCAACCTAACTTCGTTTATATGTTCAATTTCCACACGTTTCTTTTATTCATTATCACCGTTTGATATAATTAGTTGCTTGGACACTTAATACATAGAACCATGTGACCCTAAGTCGCATATTGATCAATGAATCGATTGATTATTGATTGACTGGTTAAAGGGATATAAATAAAGAGACTGTATCAGATCTTTAGTTATTATTATTATTATTAAATTAATACTAATTGGTGACAAGAAGATCATAAGTGTGTATGTGTGTGTGTTCATTATCATCATCACTATCATCAATATTTTGAAGTACTTTACCGAAATCAATATCCTTAATAGTTACACGTGCAAAATGATTAAATTTCTAGTTAATTAGTGTTGATCTATTTATATAAATAAATAGATCGCTTTCCATATAGTGGTTAACGTTTTTTAGCAGGTTAGTTTTTCTACGGGATGGGGTTAGCAGACTCCATGCCCAACCCTCCTCCTTTAGCCGGGCATAGGACCGGCAGTAACTTTAGAAGAGCTACAAGCGGAGTTTTCCGTATAATAATTATTCTTCAAGAAGGCACTTTTCATCATATACTGATATCATCTAGACAAGTGCTAAGAATTGAAATGCTATGTAGTCATTATTTTTTCCTAGTTTGGGAATTTTTAGCAGTAAACAATTATGACTTGATGTGGGAATGAATCCATAAACTTTCTTTAGTAATTGAATGAGCTCCCGAAGGTATATAAGAAAGATCTTCCTCTTCGTCCGATAGTAAATATTAATTACTAGTTATTAGAAGACCTTGACAGTTGTTTAAAAATAGTTTCCAGTAGCCAGGAGAATATTGATAATACGTTGATTGATGGGCATCCTTTAGAATCTTTCAAGAAAATTCTAGGAAACAATTTATTTTATTTTCATAGTTCGGATTGGACAGTGATTGACTTCGATGTCCCTTTCAGCTTGCCTTCCAGAAGCAACCGTAATCTTAAGGTCATATGTGTTATTATAAATGTTTGTAAGTTTTTTCCATTAATTAATCTTATAAGTTAATCTTTTTTTTGTTTTCTGTTAGCCATCTAGGAGTTGAATACTTCTGAGGACTAGGAGACTATTAGGAAGTGTACGTTCATGATTAATATTCGACAGAGTGGAGTAGTAATAAAAATGTCTTGCGACTGTTACATGACCTTAGAGCATTGGATTTGTTCTAAAAGAAGGTATTTGGAAGGTTTACTGAAGTAGATCTTTAAGGAAGAAAAAAATTTGTGTAATGTTTTCTGACATTCAGTTATCCTTCATTTAATACTGACTGAATAGGGGACTTCTAGATCCCTACTAAAATGAGAATCTTGAGCAGTAAAGAACGAAGAAGGTGATAATGTGATCGAATATTTAACCAAAGTTTAATCTAGAAGGCAAAATATGTAGTGACCGATAAGATTACTCAGAAAAATAGATTTATCGTCTTAAAGAATGTTCTAGAAATCACCAAAGATATTAATTGGTTAGGTTTCCCTTAGATATTTTCACTTCTAAGAGGTACCATAGAGACAGTCATTGCCATTTCTTTAAAGTAACGATAGTTATATATTTATATTCTAAGTACATTGATGTACCATAGCAGAAGCATCTCAGGATAAGTTATTCATTGAATATTTAATTATTCTAAACATATCTTCAATGAGCAAAGATGGATGGTGGCTAGCAGTGGAATTGAAGACGCGCGTTTCGTCCTATTTGGACTCGTCAGTTGGATGTACTTGCATCCCAGACTTGTTGATTTTCACTCTGGGACTCCATCTTTGTTTATAATGCTTGTGAATAAAGGCAATATCAAGGCAATATGCACAGTATGTACATATGCCAATTAGAGACTGACCAGTTGCAGTCCTAACATATCGATGGGAAGATTCAAACAAACAATACTAATGGAATATCTTCAATGAGTTTGTACAGATATTTATTTTTGTTAAATATATGGGCTGAATTTAACTAAATAATTTTATCAGGTCAGTAGAATAGATAAATAATTCACAATTCATCACTGTTATTCAATACTTATGGGCAGCCTATGCTCCTCCAAGAGGGGTAACAAGCGTAAATAAGTAAGTAAGTATTCAATACTTGAAAGAGATTAAATCTTAAGATTTGTTGAAATACTGTATGCTAAGCTTAATTCATCATAGTATCGTATAGAATAACTGCTTCTATTCATATGATTGACAATAATTAGTAGAATAGAATGTTTACTATTCCAGTTGAATATATATCTACTAATGTGATACAATTTTTTTCTACTTGTAATGCAATATAATGGAACCATATTACCATCCGACTGTATAAAGTAGATTTAAGAACATATTATATAAAGTCAAAAATTGACTTATTTAACTATAACTGTGGTGTGGTCTACTTATATACACATAAGTGAGTATATGGTTATGGTCAGACATACAATGTATTTTGACAGAGGATAGATAGAGAACGAACAGGAATGAAATGCAATCGGTATGAAAATCCATGAACAATGAAATCAGAGAAGACGGACTAATATTTGCAGGAAGAATAGTTAAGATTGAGACAATTGATTGATAGTTTGGAAATTAACTGTTTGTTGTATGGTTATCAGAATTTAGTGAGGTATTCTGTAATTCGTTCCTGAATACATTCAAGTGTCCCTATTCGTGTTCTAGTTCACTAAATAACTCCTATTTAATGTGATGGAATAAATTTTTAGAATGATAAAACTAAATTGTCCTATGACTTATAAACTGAGGGTTAAACAATCATCAAAATTCAAAAAGTTCTAACACACAATTATTTCTTCTCAGTATAGTATCCACTCATTGGAAATGCGGAGCTATTAAATTCTATTATCTCTCAAGGGTAACTATCTTACATTCAATATGAATGTAATCCATTTCAGTTATCATTCAAAATTAAACTGTTCATTATAGCTTATCATTATATAGTACATGCGTTTATCATTATATATTATAATACTAAGTCAAATCAAGTACTATTAGCAACAGAGTTTTATGGGAGAGGACAAACCAGCTTCCAGCTGAAGAGAAAATTAGGAAAAGACGTTGGAAGTGGATCGGACATACATTAAGGAAATCATCAATGTGCATTACAAGGCAATTCCTAACTTAGAATCCTGAAGGGAAGCAGAAAAGAGGAAGGTCAAAGAAGACAATGCACCGGGAAATAGAAGCAGATATGAAAAGGATGAATGACAATTGGAAAGAACTAAAAAGGAAGGCTCAGGACAAAATTGGATGAAGAATGCTGGTGAGCGGCCTATGCTCCTCGATGAAAGGTAACAGGCGTAAGTAAAAGTAAGTCAAATTAAGTAATAGTAACATATATAATTAGCCTCAGCAGCAGTAGATCTCAATATAAACAAAGAGGAAAGCAAGACTCTTCGATACAATACAATATGCACCAATCAAATTACACTTGACGGAGAAGCTTTGAAGGATGTGGAAACCTTTACATATCTGGGCAGCATCATTGATGAACACGGTGGATCAGATGCAGATGTGAGGGCTTGGATCGGCAAAGCAAGAGCAGCATATTTACAACTGAAAAACACCTGGAACTCAAAACAATTGTCAACCAACACCAAGGTTAGAATTTTCAATACAAATGTGAAGACAGTTCTACTGTATGGAGCGGAGACGTGGAGAACTACGAAAGCCATTATCCAGAAGATACAAGTGTTTATTAACAGCTGTCTACGCAAGATACTTCGGATCCGATGGCCAGACACTATCAGCAACAAGTTACTGTGGGAGACAACAAACCAGATTCCAGCAGAGGAAGAAATCAGGAAGAAGCTCTGGAAGTGGATTGGGCACGCTTTGAGGAAATCACCCAATTGTGTCACAAGACAAGCCCTCACATGGAATCCTGAAGGTCAAAGGAGAAGAGGGAGACCAAAGAACACATTACGCCGAGAAATAGAGACAGACATGAGAAGAATGAACAAGAACTGGAAAGAACTAGAAAAGAAGGCCCAGGACAGAGTGGGTTGGAGAAAGCTGGTCGGCGGCCTATGCTCCATTGGGAGTAACAGGCGTAAGTAAGTTAGTAAACATATATAATTATTAAACAGGAATATATATTTTGAGATCGCGAAGAAGATTTGTAGCTCAAGTGAATGATTTTGATAGAGTTTTATTCTCTGAGCTAGATAGTTTTATCATAGAGTTTTTATCATCCTTCTGAACAACATCATCAGCACAAACATTGGCTAAATATCATTCAGACGGATGATGAAATCTTCACAACCAAACCATTCAGCTCAGAGAACAAAACTCCATCCAAAAAAAGAGAAAAAGAATAAATAATAATAATAATAATAATGTACTTACATTGTTTTGTTTATCTACGTCCAATTTATTCAAAATTTTCAATGCCAATAAATTAATTTACAATGTTTCCTTTGTTTAACTAAATAATTATGTTTTTAAAATTTTTTGTTTGTTTGTCTATTGTTTATTTTTTCAAATTAAATTGATCTCATCTAAGTTGGGTTTTTTTTGTATTTTTTTTTTGAAAAAAATAAAAAAAAAGAAGAAACAATATGGATACAAGTGAAGTTGATAGTTTCACTTCAGTAATATATATACGTAAATATAAGTGAATTTGAATTGGATAGTTCTTTTCTTATATTACTATTGAATAAGTTGTGTTATTATAATCACTATGCTAATAGCCTATCATATTGTTTTATTTAAAAAAAAAAGATAAACAAAACTACTACTATTTAAAAAAAAGAAAGAAAGTAAATCCCAATAATGGTGATGACGTGTAAAAAAAAAACTAAAAAAAAACAAAAAAAAAATAAAGAAAAGAAAAGAAACACGATTTTAACTTGGATAGATGACCAGTTTATTGACCTATTGTTTATATAATCTACTATGATATATATATATAGATATACAAAACAAGTAGACAACAATACTATAAACAGACTGGTTACTTAAAATATTTAACAAATAGAATTCAAAGTTGAAATCATTAGTCAATTGAAGCTAGACCACTATCGAAAACCTGGAAACACTGGACGGCCGTTTCGTCCTATTGTGAGACTCCTTAGCAGTGCACATCCACGAACCCGCTCTCGAGAGCGAGATTCGAACCCAGGACCTACAAGTCTCGAGCCGAAGCCCTTAATCGACAGACCACTGAGCTGGCATCCAACGGTGTTAATGTCTAACTTCAACTGATCCACGAAGTTGAGCAACCATTCACCAATTGTCTTCAGTGAGTTCCTATCTCACAACAGACGGGGTTTTGAACTCCACTGGTCACTGCTTCCCACTAGAACTCCAAGACATGTATCTTGAAGTCAGTCACTAGTGAGCATATGATTATATTTAGAAGGGGGTTTGTGGAGATTTCAGTATTTTTCAAAGTTGAAATCATGAGTCAATTGAAGCTAGACCACCATCGAAAACCTGGAAGCACTAGACGGCCGTTTCGTCCTAATATGGTACTCCTGAGCAGTGAGCATCCACAATCCCTCACACGTGGTTCGAACCCAGAACCTACGGTCTCACGCGTGAACACTTAACCTCAAGACCACTTAACTGGCATCCAACGGTGTCAATGTATGACTTTAATCGGTCCATCATCTTGCACAACCCTTCATCCATTATCTGAGATGAATGATTGCCTCACACTCGACACGAATCGAACTCCACTGGTCACGGCTTCTCAGATCGACTCATAAATTCAACAGTTAAAATTACTGCAATTACCACAGATCTCCATTCTGACAATAATCATGTGCTCATTAGTGGCTAACTTCAAGATGGATTTCGTGAACACACTGGATCGAGAATCGGAAGCAGATATGAAAATATTGAATAGGAACTGGCCGGAACTGTAAAGGATTGCCTAGGACAGGCTTAGATGGAGAATGCTTATGGAAGGCCTATGCTGTTCTACTAGGAGTAACAGGCGTAATTAAATAAGCTTTCGATGATCTTACAGGTCAGCTTAGTATTACTTGACTAAGCTCAACAAAATGTAACATTTGTTATAAGAGACTATTAGCATTCACATATTTCTCCTATTAAATCAACTAGAGGTGAGAAAATCTAATTTCATAGGAATATAATTGCCTCATGAAACAATTATTAGATACATTCATGCATATAATTATGTAATAATTATGAGGCAAAAACTTCTCAACTGACCAATTTTATAGTAGGTTTAACAAAAAAAACTTTTATCAGAAGGGGGTTTGGTGGAGATTTTAGTAATTGTAGATGTGCACTGCCACTCAGGAATCCCATAATAGGACGAAACGGCCATCCATTGCTTCTACGTTTTCCATAGTGGTCTAGCTTCGATTGACTCATGATCTCAACTATATAAAGAAACTTTTAAACGTTTGTTATATCAGTATAAGTTATTATAACAGAAACGTGTATAAGCATAGACTCATCATCATGTCGGTAACAAACTAATGGTATTCATTCATATCAGTAAACCAATATGGTTAATGAGTTGGGTGATCGATCAATAAATCGATCATTACAATAACAATAAACACGGCATCACATGTAAATTAAGTCGTGATTACACTAAAACGTTATTTATTTTTGAATTAAAGGAGTTCTGTGCAGAATGGTTCAATTCGCAAGTTGTATACCTCACAGATTTATATTACTTATCAATGACCTGAAAATACACAATTTAATCTATAATTTGATCTTGGATGTTTATTTCAGGGAAGTCCCATACTATGATAAAAAAAGACTTTCTAGTATAACCTGATTTTCAATAATGTTTCAACTGAGATTAATCTGTGACAAAAATAGCTTACGCATAAACTGCTGATTAAACAATTTCTAAGTGAAAACAGTTTGTCTATGAAACCATCTAAAGTAAATAACACTATATATATATATATATATATATATATATATATATATATATATATATATATACATAAATATTGGTATAAGGAGGATATGCGCCACACAAGTCACTTGATTTGTCTTGGAACTGGAATACTGCTCAGGCGCTCAAACCGAAGCAGGTGGATTTTTTAAGTGGACACAACTAGAGCCTTTGACTCACAAGTCTAATCCACAAGGCAATGGAGCAATGTTAGGAGATGCAGTCACATGGTAGCCAGTGACCAACGATTGGTTCATACGCCATTTGTTCCTTCAGGATACTGTAACCCATATGCACCATTGGTTTGGAATCAGAGTTTTCCTATTCCCCTAGGTGAAATCTCCATACCCTTCAATACATTTAAAGCGCCGGACATTCGATTTTTGTCTTCTCAATTTCGTTAACAACAGCGGTGCCGCGATAATGCAGTGATTATGACTTCCTTGGCAGCGGTTGTATGCACGTGGCCACTTTAAAGCATTTCAACAGAGCTAACTCTCCCCATTCTCGGACGTACCAAACTCATCCTTAATATGTAGGTTGGAAATCAGGCCTTACGACTGAATAGTTTCCTATTTGGTCAATCTGTGTACTAATTGAAAAAAAGACAAAACTATGTATTTTAAGCTAAAGTAGATAATTTTTAGACTAGCTTCGTCAATATCAACTTATTTATGGGATTGAAGATGGAAGAAATTGTTGAATCTTATAGTTTTACATCATGAACTGATTTTCGGGTAGACAACGTTTGGAAGCCAGTAAAAACTAAATAGTTGTTTAGCTATAGCATCAAAGTATGTATCAATAATCACAACCACGAAATTCACTTTGAGGACCTTTAAGTTTCACGAAGATTGCTTATTCTCCATGTTATAGTGTTGGCATCCAATAATTTACGTCTGAATTCAATGAATTCGCATTATTGTCCGACCATTGTCCTTTGTTACTGATGACAATTAACTTACATCCAACTTAGTTGTACCTTACTGGTCACGATTTCTCAACTGAACTCCAGAATTACTTCTTATAGTTAATTACTAATAAAATCATGAATCAGCTATCCATTGCTTGATAGTTTTCAGTGATTTTTTGAATGAAAGTCAACGGTCAACTGGTTTAGATTAACGAACACTTTTTGAAAATTTACTAACTTTTTCTACTACCAGAAACTATGAGCTTTTTTCAAAACAACTGTTTTTCAGACTTCAATGAAATTTTGATTGACAGGTTATAGATCAAATAAGATTTATTGGAATCATGAACCGGTCTAATTTAGACCATCACTGAAAACCTGGAAGCGCTGAAAGACCGTTTTTGTCCTAGAATGGAAATCTAACCCAGCAAATTTGGTCTTACTCACGAATGCCTAATTTCTAGACCACTGCGTCAGCATCCATCAAAGTTAATATTTAGCTTCAGTCAATTCATAACTTTGTATAAACATCGTTAATTGTCTTCGGTGGTTAACTCCCTCACACTCAACACAGATTAGTTCCAATGGTTACAATTTCTCAATAAGAATCCGGAAAATCTGATCAGTAGCAAGCACATAATAGTTATCAGTAAAGGGTTATGGAGACTGTTAAATTTCATTCAAATCATCAGTGCTCCCAGGTTTTCAATGATGGTCTAACTTGGACTAGTTTATGATTACAATACGATCCCATACTGAAGATAAGATTAAACTAAAAGTTCTTTAAAAATGCTTTATTTATTCTCTTCTAATTTTTGGGCAGATGAGAATCACTAACAGTTCATAATCATAACATTTCAACTATAAAGCTTACATTGTCTTTCTAAACAATATTTTCAAGCCAAGATGAAGTTATTCTCCCTGTTCGGGTAGAAGTTTGTGCTGATGATGTCGTTCAGAAAGACGATGTAAGCTCCACGACCAAACCATTCAGCTTAGAGAACAAAACTCCATCAAAATCATCCACCTCAGCTACAAATCTTCTTTACCATCTCAATACTTTAACCGTCAATGGATTACTGGATAGTTTATTTGGTATTGAAATGTTTAAAGTAAGTTGTAACACTATAATATATATAAACATAATACTTATAGTATTCACTTTAAATAGTAGCTATAAATTTACTAGTCTAAAATGTGATGAGTTTATTCTTAGCAACAAAAAACTAGGTTGACATAAGTTACTATTATGAGAGAGTATAGGCAGCCTAATAGTCTATTCAATAATGATACCTAAAGCATAACTATATTTAAGTAATTGCCATTGAATATTATCTTACGATTTCAAGGTCAAATTATTGTGAATTACCATTTTTTTCAAGGTTATCGTCTAGTATACTTTATCTTTTTTATTCAATGTTATGTTACCCACACACACACACACACACATTTTGACATATCAATTTCAGAAGGGGTTTCTGGTGGAGATTTAATATTTCCATAGTTGAAAGCATGAGTAAATTGAAGCTAGACCATCATGGAAAACCTGGAAGCGCTGGACGGCCGTTTCGTCCTCTTGTGGGACTCCTCAGTAACAGTGCGTATCCACGACCTCACATCACGAGATTCAAACCCAGGACCTACCAGTCTCGCAACAGAGCACTTAACCGATAGACCACTGAGCCGACCGGCATCCAACGGTGTTAATGTCTAAATACTGAAATCTTCACAAAAGATTATGAACAGAACTATATAAAGAACAATTATATGAACGAAGAATATTCTTGTCAATGATTTCTCATCAGGTTCGAAGATCAATCCAAAGGATTTTTAATCCAGGTAAACTACAACTAATGTTTTCCACACGTCCAATGATCACATCGATAGTGAAAGATAAATTGCCTAGACT